TGGCCGCGCGACTCCCAAAGAACACTGCGCGTAATTATGTGCAATTTCTTCTGCATCGTCTTGCTCTGCTTTTTTCCCCCTTTTTTGTTAGCATTTCATTTTTTTTATTGTTTAAGGTTAATTAATAATTCAACAAATTCAGTGCAGAAGTTGCGCGGCTTCGGTGCTGCCTTCCTTCATTTGGCTGACATAAAATGCCGCTTCTAAAGGTGTGTGTGTCTGTGTGTGTGTGTGTGTGGGTGTGCAGTTTTAATGGACTGCGAAAGGGCCAAAAGCTGAAAGCCAGACATCAGACGTTTATGCTAATGGCCTGCTTTTTATGAAGGTCTGTTTATTGAAGTCTAGGCTTGGGCATTGACGGTGACTTGAATGGTCGAAGAGGCGGCAAGGAAGGCTAGCCAAATAACTCTTCATTAGCAAGATTTAATGCGTTTGTGGCTAAGGCTGTGCAAAATGTGAATTATGCTCCATAATTGAACTATCATGGAATGCTGAAGAACAGTTTTGGAGGGAACTAAAATGCAACGAAATATAAACTACAAAGAAAGACAGTAAAAAAAGAGTTATAAAAAGAACATATCATCAGTTCGATTCTGTAATTAGAAACTTTATTTATGCTGATTGGAAAAATATGGAAACATACTCGCATGTTAAGCCTAATTCTTATATATAAAGCATTTTCGATAAGATGCTAGCTTTTTCATTTTATAAATGCTTGTCCTCCATTTAAATATATAATAAATCTTTATGGGAGCTGTGTCTTTTTTAATAAAGTGCGTTTTTATTGAAATGCCAGAATGGAACCCTTTACTTGTATATTCGGGTGTTTTTCAGCTTTATTTATTTTATTTATTAATTAATTAATTAATTTATTTATTTACTTGTTTTATTTATTTATTTTGTTATCATTTATTTCTTTCTTTATTTATTTATTTATTAATTTAATTATTTATTGATGAGTTAAAAGTTTTTTCTTATATGTTCGCAAAGCAGCAGTCAGTAAAGTCTTATTAAAAATATGTTGCAAGTGTGGTAATATTTTAAAATATATAAAGCGACATTTATACGAGTGTATAAGCAAATATATTTATGCTTAAAAGTGAATGAAATTTGGTTACAAAGTAAATTTTATTTTTATTCAAAAATGAAACTCTTTCAAATCACCTAAATTTCTAAAAATAGCGCTCTCCTGCAGCAATATTTTCCATTAATCTTGTTAAGCTTGAAAGCTGTGTACATAAAATATTTCGTGGGGGGTTTTTGAAAAATATAAAATCAAAGAAAAAAAATGAAATGAAAATCATGTTTAAAGCGAAAGCAAAAATTGAAAAGTGAGGAAAGCAACGATAGCGACAAAATGAAAAACAAAGTATGAAAAGCCCATGTGTGTACAAAAACGAACCAAAAACCCAAATTATCAACAGCTTGAGGCACACACTTACTTTCAATTGTGTGCGTGTGTGTGTGTGTGTAAATACCGCACTCACACACACGCATGCATGTACAGCTGTGAGTGTGTGTATTGCGTATACGCAACGTGGCAGCGCTTTAAAAAACTGGCATGTTTACATAGCCCGAAAAATCATTTGTTGTCCACTGCAAGAATTCGTGCACACGTATGTGTACGTGTGTCAGTGTGAGTGAGACTGTGTGTGTGTGTGTGTGCTGTATGTGGCTTGGCTTTATTATCTCATGAATGCTAAATGCCAGCATAATAATGCCAAGCCGAGCCGACCTTTTCCTGGCCCCAAGCGTCGCAAGTTATATGCAAAAATCTACAGCGATATCTTATACAATTTATCATACGACTGTCGCGTCTGCCTTCTCGCTCTCCCACACGCTACCTCTGTCGCTCTTAGTGGGTTTCCGCTGGCGAAATCAGACACACATTATGTGGATAGTATGTTTAAACACTATATGATACAAATATGTTGATAATCCCAGAAATGTTCTACCAATTAGGTCTAAATTATTTTTGAAATTGGAAAGGCTTAAAAATTATATATATTTTTAATAGTGACATAGGCTAGATAGGTATTAATTGTCTCTTGACTTTGGAAAGATGATTCGAGCACTTAATAACGACAAAGAAACTCGTTGATGTTGGGCCTTATAATGAATTGATTTATTTAAAAATCATTAGACCTAGGAACGTTTTGGTTACAAAACAACTTTGCGCGTAAATGAAACTTTTTTGAAAATATTTTTGATTTCCTTAGATTAGACATAAGTTGCTTGATTATTAATAAATGATTCCACATTTTCGAAATAAGAATTTAAGAAGAAATATTAAGGGACAGGAGTAGGAGTCTTAATTGTGCATGAGGCAGTGAAATTATTATTTAGTTTACACATTTTCTTATAAAAATTAAAAAAATACATTTAAGTTAACAATATATATATATATTTTCAAGCACCATCGAATAGAAAACGAATTTATTCTGTATTTTTTGCTTTATTGAAAATCATATTTGCTTGAAATTTGAAACATTTTGTGAGTAAATAGAAAATGTTTATTCTTTATTTCTTCTCATTTAAGAAAACTATTTCAAATAATAAAAAATAAACAACTCACAATTATAGCAAAATTAAATATTGATAAATTTCTAAATACATGTATGAATAGTTCTTTTCACTTTAAAATATATATATTTCGTTTGATTGATTTGGTTTTTTAATTTATTTTATTTATTTATTTATAGTATGTCAACAAAAATTGACTGTAAATTATAAAAAGCATCTTATAAGCTAGAAAAGCCTAAGAAGGAGAAATCGAATCAAATTACAATAATATCTAATTAACGTTTATAAATATATCTGAAACATATTTGAATATACATTTTTTTAAGCTACTTCGGCTTCCAGCGTTGAAAATTGCATTTTTAAAAGCCTGAAAAACTGATGCTATGTGGAAAGTGTTGGAATGTGTTTCTGTGTTGGGCCTCTTCTTTAAATATAAAGGTATCCTTGTGTTCTGCTTGCAAGCTATAATTTCCTCTAGAACAACAGCTCTAGCTTTTACAACGGAATTGCCAATAATACAAGTAGTAGAGATAAAGTAAATTCTGAACTTACGGATTTGTGCAAATACATTTGTAGAATACTATAATTGTGGTTTAGCCACTTGCTGCCATCCTGCTGCCGTCCTACCGACTTGCGGCTGACTTAGCTGCCTGACCCATTATTCCACTTATTCACGTTGAAGGCATTCACTCAGTCGTCGACATCGTTCTCCATGTCGTGCTGGGATTTCTGCAGTTGGCTTTGACTTTAAATTGCGCACGAGTTGCGCGCACATGGCGCGACTGAGCCAAGTAGGAAGTGTTGCCTTTTGCTATCAATGTAGAAGTGTGTGTGTGTGTGGCGTAATGGCGGCACATCCGTTGCAAGTAAACGCCATTTGTCGAAATAAATTTCCGCTTTATTTAAATCCACACACCCACACATTCAACGGAAAAACACACACACACACACACACACACACACACACACACACACACACACACACACACACACACACTCACACACATGTGGGTCGCACACCACACAGGCGCTGCAAACGAGGCTTAAGTGTATATTTTATTATTATTTGGACTGCTTTGATGACATTTGTCGCTAGTGGCAAAACCGGATGTCCTTCTATGCGTGCGCCCAGTGGCATACTTGTATATGTATGTGTATGTGTGGCCACGCATATTTCTAGATATATGTGTATGTTGACTTTTGATTGCCGCATTGCGTATGTTCATTTGTATTTCAACTTGCCGGCCGCTGTCGTCGTCGCCGTCGCCCCCATTTTGTTGCCTTGTCCGTTTAGCTTTTCGTCAGCTGCGAATCATTTGGCAATGTTAAATGTTTGCCTCAAACCCGCCCGCCATAAACATTATGCGATATGTGCCCGAGCATGTTGGCTTGTCTATGTATGAACAGCACATACTTGTATATTATGTTCTCTAAACATTGAGTGTGTCTCACAGCTTGCTCAACCATGGCGAATAAACGTATTTAATACGACAATTAGTGAGTAAACCAACTTCACTTTAATGTAACAAGTTGCTTATAATATAAAGAAACCTCTTGATAGGCCTTGATAGCAATTGGTTTTTGTTTTATGAAACTGCTAACTTGAAAGTATGTATTGTTTTATAAATAGATAAAAAAAAACTATGCGCGTTTTTTATTGCATTACTGCATTATTTTCGATTAGAATTAATTGCTGGCTAATTTTTTTTAAATTCACTTACTTATAGTAGCTTGGATAAATTGAGGATTATACTACTTGTAATATCCCTCTTTTTGTATTATCTATGCATATTCACCATGATTTGAACACTTTTATTTTAATTTTAAAAATTACCCTATTTTTTTAATCTTTCTGATAACACTTATAATGATTACAGTCCCTAATTAATTGCCAATACAATATTTCAATTCAAAAATGAAAATAATTTGATTTCTTGAGCTATGTTTTAAACAGCAAAACAATAAAACAAATATTTGAAAATATACAAAATTATTTAAGAACTATTTTCTAAAGTATTTTTTTTCGTATTAATTGCTAAAATATAAATAAATTAAAGTATTTAAATTCAATAAAAATATTAAAAATTGTTTAATATTTAAAACAATGATATAATTAGAATTGTAAATGACTAGCATAATAATTTAAAAGTAACCTGATGCTTGTAACGCTAGGATAAGGTTAAAAAAAAAAATTTATAATAATAATAAAAAACATATACAGGATTGGTAGCATTATTTAATTTGAAACATTTTTGTTTAGAATTACTAAGCAAACTTACAATCTTAAATAAAAATAGAGGCATTTCTTGTGCCTAATTTTAAACATCAAACGAATATTAATATATGTTATGGCTTTTCTACTAATAATAACAATAGCTTATAACTTTTTTTTCGGCTATTCAGCTGCGGTTAATGAAAAAGCAATTATTAGTTATTCAAGTACGATTCATCTTTATTCCAATTGCATTTTTTTCCAGAGCCAGCCTGTTGCGGAATACATTTTGAAGCCTGAAAGTTTTAAAAGCTGTAAGTAGTAAGCTGTTACTATTTGAGTTCATTCAGTGGATCTGCCAACCCTTTTACAAGGGGCTTCGAATTCGTTTTTATTAAAGTGCATTATTTTCTTGATAACATTTAAGAAGACGGAAATCAATTTAACTTTCTTCTTATACAGTCCTTAGCAGTGAAACCGCCTACTCGATGTCCAGCTGTCCTTCGGCTGTCACTTTGCATGTGTGGGTTTGTGTGTGTGTGTGTGTATGTGTGTGTGCTCTTGATTTTCCGGTTTTCAACATATTCATTTGCATATATGGAAATGGCAAAAAACATGGCCCAAAAATTGAATTGAACTTGCTTGGCCGTTCAACTGTCTCCCCATTTAACTGTCTGTCTGCCCATCTGTCTATCTGTCTGCCTGTCTGTCCGTCTGTCATGCTGTCGCCCACGCCCCTTTTGGCAATATGCTGGCCTACTCAATGAGTGGCCGAAACACTCTCGCAGCGCCTGCTGCTGTTAGCTGCCTTTTGGCCCCGGGTCGTTGATGAAAACCCTTTCTGACATTTAACGCAAATTGCTTGTTATTATTATAATGGCACATGATGCCTATACTTGTAGGCCTTTGTTTATTTCTCAGACTCAGACTGCCCGGCCGCAAAACTATGACATGCCACATTTGCTTGCGACAGATCCTCACGTCTCCATCAGCCTTGCGAAATGTTATATACATGTATCTGTATATACATATATGTGTATGTATATGCGCCAATATATTCATGTTTGTTTGCCAAGGAAAACATGACATCGCCTTTTTGCATTCCTTTTAAATTTTTAATGAGCAGCACATTTAATTTTAATGTTTTGTGAACATGTGTTCATTAATGTGCGGTCCCAAAAAGGATACCCCCAAACGAAAGCAACCCAAACACGCGCAGTGATAAAAATACAGGCATGGCTACCCATACTCCTATATTTGCAGACATGGGCACAGTTTTAAATCATGATGTAGATGGTGTAGAGGCGGAGCTAATTGGTTAGCATTTAGTTTCTAATAGAATAAGACTTATGTGGATTTGTAGAATGTAGAATAGAAATCGATTTATGTAGATTTGTACAATAGTTTCCATATTTTTAAATAGATTGTCTATTAGCAATTCAATTCAATCAACAATAAATCAATTCAATTTTTTGAAATCATGATGTAGATGATGTAGAGGCGGAGCTGATTGGTTAGCATTTAGTTTCTTATAGAAATAGATTTATATAGTTTCCATATTTTTAAATAGATTGTCTATTAGCAATTCAATTCAATCAACATTCAATCAATTCAATTTTTTAAAATCTTGATGTAGATGATGTAGAGGCGGAGCTGATTGATTTATTTTCTTTTAGAAATAGATTTATGTGGATTTGTAGAATAGTTTCTATATTTTAAAATAGATTGTCTATTAGCAACTCAATTCAATCAACAATCAATCAATTCAATTTTTTAAAATCATGATGTAGATGATGTAGAGGCGGAGCTGATTGATTTATTTTCTTATAGAAATAGATTTATGTGGATTTGTAGAATACATAGTTTCCATATTTTTAAATAGATTATCTATTAGCAATTCAATTCAATCCACAATCAATCAATTCAATTTTTTAAAATCATGATGTAGATGATGTAGAGGCGGAGCTGATTGATTTAGTTTCTTATAAAAATAGATTTATTTATTTATTTATTTGTGTAGAATAGTTTCCATATTTTTATATAGATTGTCTATTAGCAATTCAATTCAATCAACAATCAATCAATTAAATTTTTTTTTAATCATGATGTATGTAGTTGATGTAGAGGTGGAGCTGATTGGTTAGCATTTCCTTTCTTATAGAAATAGATTTATGTAGATTTGTAGAATAGTTTCCATATTTTAAAATAGATTGTCTATTAGCAATTCAATCAATCAATTCAATTTTTTAAAATCATGATGTAGATGATGTAGAGGTGGAGCTGATTGGTTAGAATTTAGTTTCTTATAGAAATAGATTTATGTAGATTTGTAGAATACTTTCCATATTTAAAAATAGATTGTCTATTAGCAATTCAATTCAATCAACAATCAATCAATTCAATTTCTTTTAATCATGATGTATGTGGATGATGTAGAGACGGATCTGTTTGGTTAGCATTACGGATCTGATTGGTTAGCATTTACTTTCTTATAGAAATAGATTTATGTAGATTTGTAGAATAGTTTCCATATTTTTAAATAGATTGTCTATTAGCAATTCAATTCAATCAACAATCAATCAATTCATTTTTTTTTCATGAAACTTGTGGCATCAGATATACGAGGTATGTTCAAAAGAACAGAAAGCCAACGAAAACGCATTTCGTAAAGAAGCTCAGCGGAAATCATCGCTCTGGCAGCTACTTATTCCATTTAAATAAAAATCGAATGCAGTTTCTTCAAAAACCACACAACTATAGTCTTTAATTTCTTAGCTATTTCAATTGAAATCTACAAAGAAATGCCAAATAGTAGATCTTTGGTCTTATGGTTGGCTGAAGTCACCTTTTTTTCGGCTTGAAAATTGTACGTCTATTCCCACTCCTGGCAGCAGCATATAAATATATAATGAAAATGTTTCACTCGCTGGCACACTTAAAATAATGAGCGCTTAATTTAACACATTTCTGGAAAACGAACTTGAAAAGAAAAGCGCCAGCGACGAAAAAACTTTTCCCAGATAAGCGCAATCATTACGCTCGATTAGGCGGACGTTCAACATTCAAGGCCCAACACGATTGGGTTGCCTGGCGCTGGCTTTTCTATGGTCTCTGAGCCGTCCTGTTGATTGATTTGAAATTGGTTAGCGCTGATTTCACACACACAGACACACACAAACACATTGTTAGTGTATGTGTGCCGCCATGCGTCTAGCTGCGTTTTTCATTTCACTTTGCTGAAAATAATTACAAAATGCCTTTGCCTGTAATTGTGCAGTGGGTGGATGCGGATGGAGCGGGGTATGGTGAGGGGGGTGGTGGGAGGGGGATAGTACTAGAGGGGCGGACACATCGGCGCATCGTTTGTTGCTCGTTGAAGGCGAAATAAGCGCTGTTTAATTGGGCGTATTTGATTTGCGGTTCGCCATAAAAGACTGCACGTCGAAATCATGCGTGATTGCGGCAGTAGCTGATGTGTAGATAACTGTTGATTATCTATGAGTGTTTTTCTTTTTATTTTCTGTTTTTGGATGATTATGGTTGCGCATTATAGATTGGCACTCGATAAAGCTTTAAATCAGAACGAAAGAATATTTAAGCTGGCAGCGTTAAGGGATGCTTACAAATCAGCTGGAGCAGCAAAAAGTGCCTATTTGTTTTCATATTAAAAGGCAATTGGGTTAAGAGTATGGACTGCAGGGCTGGAATGAAAATATATATAGGAGTATATCGTATAAACTTTATACATATAAGTAAGTACATTTCATCACAGGGACTCTTCAGTTAGCATGGCAAAGGAGAAGGGTAGGATGTTAGTGATGGTTCGGTGCAGCAACTCGAATTCTTTCTTATCCAGTACGGCTAATGGATTTCAATAAACTCATCATGATGTGGGGATGGACAGGAACTAGGTCCAGTTCACAAACTTCCACAAAGAAGACGACTTCCTGGACAAACACATGCTTTCATGAAAGCTACTTTACCATGCAGATTCTAGAACTGAGTAAACGGGTTCTGATGGCGTAGATATCATACATTTATAGTAAAGGTATTATAGAAAAATATAGCGATTCAAAGTTAAACAAAAGAACTGTCTACGCTCTTGACTTTAAGCCCGGATTCCAATTTTTAAAACAGAGCTGAAGAAAGAATAAAGAAAACTTTGTATTAATCAGCTATGATGTTGTTTTTCAGCTCAAAGACAATGCTAATTTTATTTTTAGTACAATAATATTACAACAATTTTATACCTTTAGCAGCAATTCATGCAATTGTTAACTTGAACTTCAAAGAAAATTAAATGCGCATTACAACAGCTTATGTGTAAACCAGACCATATTTTTGATATATGAATGTATATATGAAAATCAAATACTTTATTGATTGAAATTAGAAGATGAATTAACAAATTTAATGATTTTCTTCATAAAAATCTGCTTTAAAGCTTTAATACCTCCCACATATTTCACAAAAGCTAATTAACCACAAATAATTGAAAAATGAAAACAAACATGCAGAAAGAGCTGAAACTGAATGATAAAGAATTAGTTCACTAATAATAATCGCTATCGATTATTGTTAATTGCATTCCTCGTCTAAGCTGGCTAGGCCTACTTTCTCCAAATGAAAGTGTCAGAAAAAACTCTCTATAAGTGACAGACGTAAATTCGTAAAAATTTCAAAACAAAAAAAAAACGGCCTCAACTTTAGAAAAGTTTACACACAATGAGATAAAAGAACGCGTTCACTAACAATAATACCTATCGATAATTGCTAATTGCAGCCGTCGCATATGCTTGCTAGGACTGCTTCCTCCGAATGAAAGTGACAGACGTGGATTTGTGAAATCTATAAAAAAAAAAATTATTAAAGCATTATTTTTATTATTTTTTCCGAAAGCTAACTTCTTTTGACTCCGGCGAAAAATGCTGAGCGTGCGCGCTTGTTTCATTCTATGCTTCTTATTACGCAATTTCCTTCGCATCCATCGTGCCTGCAATTTTGAAATTGGGCGCAAAGTCCTGGATTTTCTGTGCCTGCTGCTAAAAAGCTACGGCAACTGTGCGGACAAGTTTATAAAAAAAATAGAGGTAGGTGTTGAACACAGCAACAATGTTAAAAGTTAATGTTAATGCAATTACAAATTATAGGAAATATTATAGAGATGGCTGCCAATGCGTTCCAAATGCCTGACACTGCTCTTGCAAATGTGCGCGCATCTTTAATAGTTTCTTCTGATAAAATTTATGTTTGTTTAGCATTTTATAAACCAAATTGATTCTTCATGCTTAAAAGTTTTATATGTTGTGTGACCTTCAAGGATGTCCAGTTTTTTTTTTTCGATAAGAAATATAAATATATTACTTCAGTAATTGTAAATATTTCTATTACTGTTTTTTATTTCATTCGGGGACTGCTGCGAAATGGCAAAACCAGGGTGGCAACGCCAGATCAAGAGGTGTTGTAAAGTTTTGGTTTTTTTGTTTGGCCTGAAATGCTTAGAAAGTCAGACTAATTTGAATGTTTAAGAAGTGATTTAAATTCTTGTGCGATAAATTGGACTTGCATTTAATAAGTGTTGTCGCAGATACTACTGTAGATGGAGATAGGTGAAGAGAAAATGTTGAAGTTAGTGTAGTGCCCGAGAGCGGCGTTTAAAGACTTCATCTCACACCCTTTTTTTTGCCACCTTAGGATTAGCTTAGCATGTAAGCCGTAATTTGTATTTAGTTTTACAAGATAATTCAATACATGCACTTGTCGCTTTTCGTTTTCACGAATTGTTTTCGATTTCCCATTTAAACAAGCGTCCCATTCTATGTAAATGAAATTTATATAAACTCATAAATTTTCAGTTTTAAAAATGGAGCTTTTGAAGACGGTTTTAGTCCAATTCGAAGAATTTATTTCGGTGACGCCTGGATTTTCCAGCAGGTTAATGCACTCATCCTTACTGCACAGATCACTAAAACTTTTTTTGAGATTCAAAAATTTCCCCTTTAGAGTGGGCCAGCACCCGGTCCGGACTTAAATCTGATACAATGCCTTTGGGGCATTTTGCATAAGCGGGTTGAAACCAACGGAATTGAATTTGGAACTCAAAAAGCGTTAAGAGAAACCATTTTTCGAGAAGGGTATAAATTTGACATTCAAATGCTCCAAAACTTAACGAATTCAACGCCAGATGGAATAACGAAGGTGTTGAACATTAATGGGTGTTCAATTTCAAATATATTATTCGTTTAAAATTCTTTGTTTTGGTCTTTTTTATTTTATTTTTAACTATGAACTTGTCCTAGTTAATTATTTCGTCTGAAAGTATTTTGTTTAATTTTTTATATATTTTCTTAAGTTTTATTTGCATTATTTAACTTGAATTCAATTGATAATATTTTTAAGTTTAAGCAATAATTATTTTTGAAGGTGTATTAAACGTTTTAGTTATACTATAAAACGTAGTGTCCTTGTTAATTATTTCGCGTACCTTACGTGAACACTACTCTCAGAAGGTTCTAAATATAGTACTTCACATTAAACTTTTTTTCTATGTCCAATTAATTCCTTACAGGTGGACTTCTTCCATCGGTCAACAGGATCTCTACATGAAAGTTCTTTATCATCACAAGGTTTTCACAATTTCGAAATTTCAAAATTTGCTCAGCTTAATAAAATGTTAGCTTGCTTGGTGGTTTTCTTTTGTGGTTGAACAAGGGGTCATTGTTTCATTGGTGGTATAGAAATAGTTATACTTATTAGTGGTATTCCTGCATTACCGAAGCTCGCTCGAGAATATCATATTTGTCACTCTAATAATTTAATTGAAAATAAATATGGATTTGATTCGGTTCCCGTTGTCTGTTTTAATATTTTTCATAAATTAATAGACGAAATCAAAATAAAGTCGTAATTATTTAACTCTTTTTAATTGCAAAACCCCCACTAATTCATGCTTTGTTTGCTCAAAATTGGTTTAAAATTCAATTTGGCAATTTAGTGCATACGCGTAGCTCTAGTTTTTGTTAGCCTTGTCCCTATTGTTATGCTCTTACCTTTGTCACCATTATTATCAATGATTCTTGCTAAGCTCTGAGGGCAAACTTCAGATAAAGCCTGCAGCATATGGCTTAAGCACAAAACTTCCAATTTTGCATTTTTGGTCAAATTAATCAAGCTGTTGTTGGTGTTGTTGTTGTTGCGCTCTGGGTCGACAATAAGTCGGCAAGCAGCGAAAACGAAAGTCAAAGCCACAGAGCTACTCGACTACATAGAGCCATATTCGCAAATGCTATAGTATGTATGTGTGTATGTATGTATGAGCTCGAGTCACTCAAATATGCAAATTAGCTGCTCAAAACTTAAACGTGCAACTGCCCTAGCCCTAGCCCGAGCCCAGGCCCAGGCCCAAGCACAGACCAGAACAGACCAGCACGAAGATTCGAGGCGCCTGACTGTGCACGTATTTAGGTTAATGAATCGGCAAACTTTCGACAACCTCAATGTGCAAAGTTTTCGGGCACACGGCTACTATCTACAAAGATGACGAGGACGACAAGGATGTTGGCGACGTTTTAAAACCCCGCTGCTGCTGCTGCTGCTGCTGCTGCATCAAGAGCGAACGGCCAAAGGTAAATGCAATTCAACAGGCAAGCTGGCTGGCTGGCAGGCGGGGGCGAATCCAAGATAGTGGCAGCAATGTCTATGACTATGACTATGTGACTAGGAGTACGTGGCATTATCAAGTGGAAATATGTAAAAATGTGAAACTTCTGTTTGACTTTCGGCTCTCTGAGCAACCGGCAGCAGCAGAAGACATTCAAAGTTGGGCAGCGCAACTTTGTCGACTTGAATATTTCATAATTTTTCGTTAGCGAACGAGCACACTAAAAGGCTCTAAGCCTATTAAGGACATCAAACAAACATTTTGCAAAATTAAATGGCATGCATGGCATATGGAGCGAGCACACACACACACACTCACACACACACACACATGTCATGCTTCGGCAACAAAGAGCCAGTTAGATATTTGGATCTGGTAAAGGTATGTACTTGTAGAAGTTAGTAGTTGGTTGGGTGAGAGTGACCAACATTTACGTACAGCATCGTCTTTTTTCTCTCTGTGTAGCTTCAAATGCAAGAAATGCTAACATTCCAATTGCTAATGTTTCATAAATTATGCCTCAAAAGTTTCCTTTCTACCCGATTCTTTACTAATAACATGAGAAATATTCAGAATCCAGGTAGAATTTCAATTAACATTATACCTCAAAAGATTCCTTTTTACCCGATTTTTTAATAATAATACGAGAAATTATTCCGAATCCAGGTAAAATTAAAATTAAATTTATACCTCAAAAGTTTCGTTCTTACCTGATTTTTGACTAATAATATGAGAAACTATTCCGAATCCAGGAAGAATTTCAATTAAAATTAAACCTCATAAGTTTCCTTTTTACCCGTTTTTTTAATAATAATACGAGAAACTATTCCGAATCCAGGTAAAATTTAAATTAAAAGTATACCTTAAAAGTTTCCTTTTTATCAGATTTTTTAAATAATAATACGAGAAACTATTCCGAATCCAGGTAAAATTAAGATATAAAAACATCTGGGTGTCGAAAAACTCAAAATGAATATTGGCATAAAATCAAATGCATTTAAGAAAAGAATTTCTGTGATCCATCAGGAAAAAATTACAGTATGGCTTATTTTTTTACAACCTTCAACCAACAATTAAGCTAACTACTGATTTTTTTGCACTATTATCATTATTCTGCCTTGTCTTTAATAAATTACCAGTTCTTGTAAGAACACTACCTTCCACTCCTGTCTGCAAACTGACATTTAGTCCAGTTTTATTTCTATTAATTATTGGTAGTGTAAAAGCCAAAGTCTCATGCCACTACTCCAAAATACTATACACCTATATGTAGATTAATTATATATAATTTTCAAAAATAATTTACAATTTGAGAATTTATTTATTAGTTCCTAGTGCGACAAGAAAATTTCTTATAAATTAATGTACTAATCAAGTTGACAACGGCAAGAACTCAATAAACATAATTGTAGTAAGCAAAAATTAATCAATTATGTTAAGTATGATTCTTGATTCGGGATTTCAACTCATGCCTATAACTTCCGATGATAATTCAGTTCAGCTGGTCTCTACGTCTTTGTATTGTTTTCAGAAATAGTTACCCGAGAAAGACAGGCTGGATTTCGATTTTACAATTGAGCTTGTTAAATTCCCATCCCATTGAGAGACTTCAAAATTCTATTTGACATGAGCAGTTTATTTATTTTTTTTATTCGTAATTAGTTTTTAGTGCAATATGTAGAGATTCTTTATGTTCCAGTTTAGTTATTAATTAACATTTATTTATTTATCAAGTAAAGGCCTATTAAAAATTGAGACAAAGAATATTAAAAGTTAGTCCTAAATGAAATTAAAAATAATCTAAATTAAATTGAATAGTGAGATTAAATGGCACCTTCTACCCCGCGGCAGTATTTAGCTTTATAAACGTCTTTTTTATATAAGGAAGAGTAAACTACATTAATAAATGTTCTTGCATTAATTATTAGCCTCATATCTCATATCTCTATATATACAAGTATAAAACAGTTTCTCCTGACTCATTTCACAGTGAAAGTGAAGTTTTGGAAAATTCTAACTCCAAAGGGGGGAAAAACGGGCTCAAAAGTTTGTATGAAAAATCCGCAATTTTCATTCGATTGGCTTCAAACATGGTTTTCGTATTCTATGAAAGAATTTAAAAAATACTGCGTACTTGGGGGGGGGGGGGGGGTGGGGCGGGTTGGCCTGGTTTTCCCGTGGAAAAATTGAGTCACAATCAACACCCCATAGCCCAAACGGTAAGAGTTAGGAAGCTGAAATTTGGACTCAAGTATCCTTTCATAGTATCCACCATAGTGTAGGTGCGCTCTAAGACAGACCTTTGGAAAATTCGAGCTCCAAAAGGGGGGAAAACGACCTTAAAAAATATTAGTTATAGTGGTCATATGTGTACGTTTAACAAAATATTTTGGCAATAAGAAAAATGTAACGGACTACTGAACAATTTTTTGTGAACAACAGAAAATGTTCACTTAAATACTTTAAATGCCTTCCTACCGGTAACTAATATGGTAATGAACACACAAATTAAATACAATTATATTGAGCCGGGTTAAGTAATATAATATTAATGGTATGTCCGGTCCTGGCAACACATTAAGCCAATAATTTGTAGTTAAAGCGATCGGGAAAATAACATCT